TTTGAATCCAGCCGAAGCCCTGACTTTTCACAGTTGGGTCTCATCTAAAATCATCAGTGTGCCGCACTACTCGTTATTAATCAAATTGCCTAATTGGACTTCGCATATTTGCATTTCCAAGCTGATTGCGATTTCACCAATCCACTCTGGTGAAACATATATTGGTACTACCTATTAGGGCAACTAGTGGGCAGTTGATTGCAAATTCTAGATTTCAATATTCAGTAATAATTAAAACAAGGCCAGTAGATTAATGAGAGACGGGCTTGAGTCATATGGGCACAATGGTTGTAGTTCAACCGGTAATCCAAACACGACTGCCACATATTACTGAAGGGAACTGTTGCAAAAGTACATCTAAAATGATTTGGTTTTAAATGACTTTAGGCGGTTGAGATTTCGATTTAGGTTACGGACATCATGACACCTTGATATCTAAAAAAATAGTGAGTGTAAATTGTAGAGCATGAAAGCTATATAAGTCCTACTGTAATGTTTACTTTCGTTAGACGAACGTAATCTCTTTTAATGTAATTCATATGCTGTCTTAACTGGGTTTCATGGTCGTCTACTAGGTGACGTTGTAGAATGGCAAGGACATAGGTCAGCAGCAGCTTTACACTTCGAGTTTATATACGCTGATCGTGAGACCAAATGATTTTGTCCGATGAGTTCCGAATGGACATCTACGCACACAGTATGATCAGTAAGGCTTCCTCTTAGCTTGTAGATATTCTTGTTGATCTATAGACTAAATTATGTCATTCTTACATCGTGAATTTTATTTAGGTCAAGCAGGAGTTGGTGACTGGAGCCAAAAATGTGTACGACCTGCCAGTAAAATGATAATATTACTAATTAATTTCTTGAGGGCAAACTACTGGTAACATTATGGTGTATATTCGTAATCAAGGTCGTCGTAATTTTAGGCGACAAATCCATCCATCCAATTGCATACTACCACGCGAAAATAGCAATTCATAACAACTATAACAATGCAGTCAATGAATTGCTTTCAGCGTTCACTTATCTTGTTGTTTCGTTTGGATTTGTTCTAAGTCACTTTGTGTTCGCCTTATCGATCAGGCTTGATTTGAGCGGTCACATTTACTCGATGGTCATCAATCGTGCTTTTCACATTTCATGTCGACCTTCACGAAGTTAATCATAATTAATTGATTAACTGTTGTGGTTAAATAAGTCTACCTATCCTTCATCTTACTCAACTTTGTCTGTATCTGAATTATGTTCTCTCGGTAGTCAGACATGCTAGATTTTTCTAACAAAATTGACTGTTTCTTGAATATTCTTGCGTTACTTGTGTTACAGGCTTAGAGTGCGAAATGCGTCAGTTGTTTACTAAGTAAGCCTGTGGTATGTTTCGTATCATGGTTTTCCACAGTAAGGGTTGCTTACTCATCCATCAATTTTCCAGGTGTCAAGCTGCCCAAAGTGTGCGAGAAGAAAAGCGCAGAAAACGCAAACAAACTGTCAGACAAGCTGAGTCAGGCGGTAGGTTACTTTCTGCCCATTGTTTCACATCAACTTGATCGTCCAGTCTTTCTGAGTTTCCTCGGACAGCGGTTTTAAGAAAGACGTTGTGAATCAGTTAGACGTTAGCCGGTACATGTGAACTTCATTCATTAAAACAAACATGTACTGCCACATGCAGACAAAAGTAAGTAGTTAATCGTCATTAACGTCACTGACATCATTTCGTCGTTGTTATCTAGAACTGTATTAATACCGACATTTCCTTCTTGTCATAATGCGCTCAGCAGACTGTGGCAGGATTTAAGCTCAAACGAAAGCATTTGACAGATGTAAGCTAAACGAGTCACACTGTAGGTAAACAAGTTTTTGCATTGTCCGTTTCGCAACAAGCGATACTCTTAATGCCCATGTTCGCGTGAATATAAGCTTGGCGTTCAAATTAGTCGTCTGATTGAAGTCGCTTTCAGACGTAGTCTACGTAATGAGTCTGCACAGGTATAAAACTGATCATGAGCCGTCAGCATCCGACAGAACATCGGTATATATTTGCATTCTGTCAGCTTCTGACCTGTGTACAAAACGACCTTGATATGGTTAATATTCATCCAACCGATCATATTTTTGTAAGTCATGCACTTATTTCATTCAACGTCTCATTTCAAACAACACGCAAAAAAGCGGCGGATCAATGTGGACGGAATTATATTCTGTCGCAACGTAGTTGTTATTTTAAAGCTCAGTCTTAGTAGGCAGTTTATTGAACGTGGTACAAATATTCGGGACAGCCTTCCGCAGATCAAGTTATTAATCGATCGGAGAGGGACAATTTGGATTAATCTGGCTTTTAATAATGTTTTTACTGTGCTCCTTGATCAACTCTAAGAATCCCTGAAGTCGGTTACAGTGGTAAGGTGGACACTGTGAGAGAATTCACCACTTTTGCACATAACTGGAATGTAGTCGCATCAGGGGCTGTTATAGAAACTGTTAAAAAGCATGTTTTTTTCTGCATTCAGCTTTTGCAAAAAGGTAACGCTTTAGGCGGTTAGGTGTACGGTAGATATCACATTTGAAAACTGGTCATAGTTGAAACACATCGAAAACGATGCGTATGCATAATGTGCTTAGAAAGTGAGCTATTTTCGATTCAAAACAAAGTCCAGTCATTTGTCTTCGTTCAAAATCGTCGACGCTGCTGTTTTTTACCCAATCTTTCTGGAAACGTTGTCTAATTTTTTGCTTCAGATGTGAATGATAGACGTCTCGATAAGCCATCAGCTACTGGGAACCAGAATGACGAACCAACAGCTCCTTTCAGTGTAGAGAGCGCGGGCGAGACGGTGGACAATGTTTTTGGGACAAATTTAAACAGACGCTTAGTAAAATCTACTCACTGGGAACATGTTACGCCCACGATGAACAACTTGCAATCGTGCGCATCCGAGGAAGATCTTGACAGACGATATGACACAGAACAGATTGAGGGTAGTGAAGAATCTCACCGTTTATGTCCAGTCAACGATTCTTTCATCAGTGAAACGGATAATACGCACAGCAGATCTTATGCGAAGGACTCTGAAGCGCCCGAAGATGAAAACGATTATCAGGAGAATGAGTACACAGAGGAAGAAGATCAAGACGAAGAATTTGTCGGGGAGGTGGAGGACGAAAACGAAGAAGGAAATGAAGAAATAGAACGCGAAGACGAAGGCTCTTTAAGCGCAACCGAATCTGCTTATGAGCGTCCCGATCAACATCCCGACGTAGACGAAACACGCGAAGTGCCGTTCACATCAAATAAGGACTGCAACGTGATTGTAGAAAAAGTGGATGCTTTCTACCAACGTCGCATGTCGACAAAATGTGCTGTTCAAACGGAAGGACACCAAAACGACAGCCATTTGAATGAATTTTTCTCTCAAGATCACCCAGTTCAAACAAGTCGACTTACAGAAAGCCGTTTTGCTGGCGATGTGATTGAAAGCCTCACTGGATGTGACCTATACATCACAGATGTGGCTGAGGAAACGCCACTACACGAATACAGCGTTGCAGAAACTATAGGTTCAGGCAGCTCGTGTGCATCCGGCGATCGAATGCAACCTGAAGCGTTCAAATATGCCAGCTCTATTATTGCCCATTCACCTCCGTCCAACGTACACACGCGAATACCTTCGGTTTTAGTGGAATCCGAAGATGGATATTTTCAGACGTCGATGTTAAGTTCAAAGGCGGAAATGCAGGTGAGCACGGAACGAATTCGCTCTCAGTTTACAGAAGTCATCTTCTTAAATGAAAGCGCAGCTAAAACCTCTGATATTTCCCCACACGATGCGGACTTGGTTGCATTACCGGTCTCTTCACGCCTAAGTTCCCGCATGACGGTTTCTCAATCAGTAACCTTTACGTCTTCTTTGAGTCAATCGAAGTCTCCCACGCACCAGTTCGATGAGAATGACATTGATTTGAAGACAAATATGTTGCCGCTGCGGATTTCAGATGGTACAACGTCCAGACTAACAACAGAGACCAACGATCTTTTTCATCTCCGTACCTCACCACAGTGTATCAAGGAGCAGATCGGGACGACTTCACTGTCTCCGAGTTCTGTAAGCCGACCTGAGTGCCTATCACAACACAGGTTTCAAAACCTTAGCCTAGAAAAACAGGAGTTAAATAATGGGATACCTCTGCTTCAAAAACCAACACCGAGTGTTCATGTAAAATGTATGAGTCCACTGTTTGGAAGCAGCTCAGAGACGTTGTTACCCAGAAAAAGTTCTGGTAAATTAGAGGTACTATTCGATCGAAGTCGTGGTGCTGACACCAGTCACAATTCAGAAACAATCACCGATTTCTACACACCTGAACAGTCTCCTGCGCAGGACGCATACGATACTGCGTCGGAAACCACGCTGCTATCACCGTTTCCGATGACCTGCTGCGTCGAACAGAAAGGTCAAACTGAGCTAGGAGCGAAATAAAGAACTGTTCGGCTCCCGTCGTTAATGTTCATGGGTGTATTTTTTTGTGACTTACAGACATCGTA